TCTGAAAATTTGCAAAATGGGGAGATTAGACTTCCTGTTAAACAAAACAGATTGACTACACATGTCTCTCTACTCCCTCAAGGAACTTCAGTACAAGTAAAATGATAAACTAGTAACAAAAATAGAATTGAAGATGAGAGTAAAATAGTGGAAACGGAAGATGGAAAGCAGACTTCGACAGAGCAGAGAAAGGTGAATCCTAACTACCTGCAACGTGCAAAGCTGACAAGAAGTAATCCTTTCTGTCCTGAAGAAAGCTCAGAGATTGGAGGCAGCAGCACGTGCCTCTGAGAGGAAGAAAACAGGGTTAGTTGAAGATCTACATTAGGAACAGTCAGATTCTCAAGTCCCCTCTGTAAGGACCAATAGCAAGGAGGCTGTTTCTCCTGGTCCCCACAGAGGACTGGAAGTTCAGCCTCTGCAGTTGGAGAATCACAAGTGTACTGAACTTGAGTACAGAAGGTACACCGAGCAGGCACTGAGTGGAATCTGCATTTCGAGTAATGAGACTTCCTTGTCCTCTTTCCTTACCTCACACCTGAAACAGTTGACCACTGGCAACCTGGGCAGAAAGATTTTCTCAAGAAACTGATCTGGCCAAGAGAAACTCCCACTGATACTGACATTTGAAACATGCCTCCACAAAATGCCTGGGTCCAAACACCAGCGGCCTAGTTAAGGACTCTAAGGCAACAAGCTCTGCCTTTACGCAGAAGAGTGTCCGATCAACTTTTCAGTGCTTCATTCTTAAATGTGAGTGAATAGCAGACTGATGAGGAAATCCTCTATGATGGAAGATGAGGAATAAAAAAGAAGGAACATAGAAACATGGCATAGGACCAGTAGAAGAAAAGTTAAAGATATTTCCTTCAGGAGAGAAAAGACAATGAGTCTACGACACAAGAGTAAGATGATATGGAAAGAGAACATTTAGAAAATAAGAAACAGATCTTAGAAAAAATGGTGGCAGAAGTAGAAAACTCAATGGAAAGATTGGCATATGAGGTGAAGGAAATTTCACTGAAAGTAGAATAACATGCCAAGGAGATGGGAAGTAGGAGGGAAAAGATTAGACATTTATTAGAGAATGTTTAAAAGTCCAATATCTATTTAACAAGAGTGCCAGAAAGCAAGAACAGGGAAAATAGAAGGCAAGAATTATTAAAGACATAGGACAAGGAAATTTCCCAACTGAAGGGCAGATGGCAGACTGAAAGGGCCCATTAAGTGCCTAAAATAATGAATAAAGAACAAATCAGGGCAAATCCTCAAGATATTCCACAAATCTTGGTTAAAAAGTTCCCAACTTTCAGAGAGAAATACAAAGGAATCAGAATGCCATTGGTTTTCTTAATAGCCACTCTGGAAACTAGAAACTGTGCAGTGGTGCCTTTGAAATTATGAAGGAAAATTATTTCTAATCCAGAGTTTTGTGCCCCACCAAATATTAATCAAATGTGAAGATAAATTTAGAATGTTTCCAACACGTAAAGTCTCCAAGAATGTGTAATTCTATCTCCAGAACATCCTGAAGATGTACTCCACTAAAATAAGGGAAAAACAAGAAAGAGGGCAAGATGGGATTCAGGAAATGTTTCCCACAATGTTAGGGAAGCATAATCCCAGGATGACCACAAAGTGATACACCTTAAAATCAGTCCAGACAGGGGCAGGGGATAGAGGGCTCCAGGAGAGATCTCCAGCGAAAAGAGAAATAGAACTGATAGATTCCCTAATGTGATTAACTGAATTGAGAGGAGGAAAGTTTGGGTTTAAATTTGTCACTGATACAAGGAAAATTAGCAGATGATTTTTTTAAAAAGGCGAGTTTTAACAGCAGGAAAAATAAATTGTGCAATTACAAAAAGAAATTGTAAAAAACGCAATCATAATACACTGTGTGGCTAAGCTGTGAAAAATATTTGCATGGTCATAACACTATAAACATTGTTTATTCAATGAAAATTGTGATATAAATATAGCAGGAGTTTAAGAGTAAGAAAAGAGTATATGTAGTTAGTGTAAGAGCTCAATTTTCTTCTATATTAAGAAGGCAATAAATTATGTCTAAAAATGGAACTCAAGTAGAACAGCAGAGAAGGGCATTAAAAAATAAATATGTAGTTCTTTGTTACCAAAAACAGTTATCAGAGTTCAAAGTTCTGGTTAGTACTTGGAAGTGGGAAGGTTAGGTATGGAATTGCTGTCTTTTGCTAGAATCCTTGTGTAACTAAAAAGTATTTAATTTTTAAGACTATGTATGTATATTATATTGATTTTAGAGGGTTAATGGAATATGTTCCAGAAATACTTATACTGAAGGCAAAATGGTTATTTCTCAATATCTAATTAATTACTTCAATACATACAAATAGGCTAATTCACATCATGGCTAGTTCGGGGCCTGGAAACATTAAGTAAGAGTAACATTTAGAGTGAGTTTCACTCTGACATAGTAAAATGAATTTTTGTTTTAGCATCATCATACTTACCTTTATCATTAAGGGCAAGTGTACCACCACCATTAGTTATTTTAGGCTAGCTCACAGGTTCTCAACTGGGGAAGATTTTCCCCTCCAGAGAGTATTTGGCGAAGTCACAGCTGGAGCTGGGGGACAGCTACCGGTACCTCATGGGTAGAAGCCAAGGATGCTGCAAAACAGCCTACGATGGACAGAACAACCCCCGACATAATCATCCGGTCCCAAATGTGAATCGTGCCATGGTTGAGAAGCCAAGCTCTGAGTCTCAGAGGAATATTTCCTCAGAACACTGTACACAGAGATTGATGAGGCTCATTTTGCTATTTAGGACTGACTCAGCTGAGGATCTTGGTGCAATGTTGGAAGAAGTCTGGCTGTGAAATGTATTTTTGAGAATATTGAGAATGGTAAAGACAAAAGGTATAATAAATAATAATAATAATACACAGTGCTTTGCACCTTAATAATCTCTTTCATCCATGGTTTCTAGGGCATTTTATAGACTAATAATAACTAGTCCGGTATCCATATACTACATTTTACCCAAGGATCTCAGGCACTTCCACAACATTCTCACAGTGTAGGAAGTATTATTATCCCCATTTTATATGTAAGTAAATGGAAGCAGAAAGTTAGGCAACTTACCCAATGCCACACAAGTCAGTAGTAGCCAACATTCCTGACTCAGAGCCTATTGATACTGAGGGAATTGGTCTTAGAAACGCAGTGATACATTTATGTGACATAAGTTTTATCTTAGTTCATTCAAAGCCTATCATTTTAAAGTTAGTATTGTTTATTCAGTACTTTATCTTTTTTGTTTGCCTTTCTCCTCCCCCTCCCACTTCTTGAGACCAAGGATTCTGTATAAAAGGGACTATAATTATTGAGCACCTTGCATGCATCAAGCACACGTTGTCAATTATCATAACAGCTTTAAAAAAAAGTAAAGAATGCTGAGTTTCAGAGAATTTAAACATGCCCAAGATATCTCAGCTACTCCTTTGGTAAGTTACAAAGCATACTAATGGGAATCTGTTTAATGCCTAACCCTCTTTCTCCCCGCCTAAAGCTAAGAACACAAATTGTATAGAATCAATAATTGAGGAATTTCAGGTGGCACATCCAGATTGGTTTCAGCTAGGCTCAGTCTCTCAAACCACTTCTCATGGAAAGCCTTTATTTTTCTACGGATTTTTCCAGAACTCTCTCCTGTTTACTCCCATATTCACCCCAAAAGCCAGACCAAAGGCCAGAACCGGGTGACTTTCCCTCAGAGAAATAAATTGCATGTGTATCACTCTCTCCCTTCTCCTTCCTGTTGCAGGCACACACTAACTGCCCACCACCCACCATGTGCCACCTGGGCACATTCCTCAGCAAAACAGAAATACTAAATAGAAAGAAAGATTTATGGTAGGTAAGAGTGACTCAGGGCTCACCTAATTTTTACAAAATGATGACCAGGCATTTGTAATCTGCCACGGTGATGTGCCCCTGGCATTACTTGGATATCGGGAGGTCTGTCTGCTCAGGCGCCTGACAGTGAGACTCCACCCAGCCCTGCTCCAGAAATCTTACATGACTTGCATCTTGGGGTAAGATTTACCCGACGACGTGTTAAGAATAGAAAAACAGAGTTGATCACTGCTCCGCTCACAAATCAGCATCGATGCTGCTTGTGTACTTCCGTAGGGAGCTTTGCTGTGAACTCACCGTCTGTAGAGGATGCGTAGAGACGGTACTATGAGAAAAACTCCAAATAGGGCTGGGATAGCCAATACAACACATTGTCCAAAAGAGTTTCAAATTTTCTCCTGCAAGGCTAATATAATAGGAAGCCTTTGGTAATTCACGGACATTTATTGCTCTCCCTTCAGCCGATCCCTTCACCAGGGAACCGCAGAAGGGTTCAATTCGCAGAATGGGTTTGCTTCAATTCTTTCTCCTCTCCGGCCTGCCACCCTAGTAAATCTGAAAAGGGGGCAGCGACCTGGAAAAGTGACGCGCGAGTGTTTTCCCATCCTGGCAAGTCAGGCCCTGAATCATCACAAGTTGACTGCACTTTCCCCTCAGCCAGCAGCATTCAAAACTTTTTCCTCGAAGAGTATGTCTTGTACTTAAAAGGAAGAGTGGTGGGAGCCGGGAGAGGCAGAGAAGAGGCGCGGGCTGAGGCGCGCAGAGGCCCTGCCCTCCGGAGCGGGGGCCGCAGCCCAGGAACGCGCGGTCCGGCCGCGTACGCGGGGCGGGGCGGGGCGGGCGGCGGGGCCCGGCCGCGGAGCCGCGCACCTGAGCGCCGGGGGCGGGGCGTCGGCGGCACTACCCCTCAGCGGCCTCGCCCCTCGCGCGCCGCCTCGGCCCTTTCCGCCGGCGCTTCGGCGCCGCTCGGCTCCCCGTTCCCCTCCCGCCCCGCGCTCCCTCCCTCCTTCCCTCTGCTCCTCGCTTTCCAGAGCGAAAAGTCGCGAACTCCACGCGGCCAGTTTGCCGCGTCCCTTGCTCGCGGCCGCGCCGGCTCACCTGGGCGCCTCTCCCAGCCCCACGCCGCGTTCCCCCGCTCCTCCCGGGTAAGGGGCTGCCGGGCGCCAGCGGCGGCCGGGCACTGGGCCGGGCGCTTCCCGCCTCAGCCGGGAGCCGGCTGGGAGCTCCGCGCCGCGCCCCGGGAGTGGGCGGAGGTGGGCGCCCCGCGGGCCGGCAGGTGGCGGGGCGCGGGGCCGGGCGGGCCGGCGGGGTGGGGCAGCCCCTCTCTCCTCCCCCGAGGGGCGGTGTCCGGCCGGCCCGCGCGGAGGTGCGGCGGCGAACTTCGGAGGGTGGCGACCGGCCGCCGCTGCCCGTGGTCTGGTGGGCGCGTGCGGGGGCTGCGGGGCTGGCGGGACCTGACGCGTGCCTTCCCCGCCCCCTTCTGTGTTTCCCCCAGACCCGCCGACGGCCTGTGGCCGCGGTCGCCCAGCGTCCGGAGGTCGCGCCCTCGCATCCTTCGTCCCGTGCGGGGAGGTGGTGGCCGGAGCCGGGCGGGCAGCCTGAGGTGAGAGCGCAGCCGGCCCCCGGGAATATGGCGACCGGTGGCTACCGGGCCGGCAGCACCACAGACTTCCTGGAGGAGTGGAAGGCAAAGCGCGAGAAGATGCGCGCTAAGCAGAGCCCGCCGGGCCCGGCCGCCCCGGGCGGGGGCAGTAGCGACGCGGCCGGGAAGCCCTCTGCGGGCACCGTGGGCACCGCCGCCGCCGCGGCCAGCGAGCTCAACAACAACGTCCCGGGCGGCTCCGCCGCACCTGCCGCCCCCGGCTCGGGGGGCGCGAACTGCGCGGTCGGCCCCGCGGCGCTGAGCCGCCCCGCCCCCGGCCGCCGCGGGCCCGAGGATGAGCCCCCCGCCGCCGCCGCCGCCGCCGCGGGGCCGCCGCTGGCCACGGGCGACGAGGAGGAGCGGGACGGCCCGGCGGAGAAGGGCAGGAGTGCGGGGCCCAGCGCTAGGAAGGGCAAGGGGCAGATCGAGAAGCGGAAGCTGCGGGAGAAGCGGCGCTCCACCGGCGTGGTCAACATCCCCGCGGCCGAGGTGAGCGGGCGGGGCCGCGGCCGGACCTCGCGGACGGCCGCCTGCTGGTCTTCCTCCTCGAGGCGCCCGCGCCCTTCGGCTCCGGGGCCCGGGGCCCCCACGGAAGCCCACGCTTCTTCCCCCCGTACTGAGTTAGGCGGGCAGAGGGTGGTGTTTTGCCCCGAGTTAGGCGGGCAGAGGGTGGTGGAGTTTTCCTCGGAACAAATGCTCCTTGGGAAATTCCCCAAACCCAAAGTAGGGCTCGTGCTTTTAAGACATCCTGGCTAGTCTCAGACCCAGGATCCTTCTTCACAGTGGGAAGACAGCTTGTGGCTCCGGAACTTGCCCACCTAGAAGTGTTTGTCTCTGCTTGATCAGTTAGAGATTAATTAATGGCGATGACGACTTTCTCTAGTTTACTATTTGTCCCTCTTAAATGATCAGATTGTTTCTCTCTCTCTTCTCTTTAACAGTGTTTAGCACCTGCAAAGAAACTTGGCCTTCCCCACTATCCAAGACAGCTTTATCTTTCAGTGAACCCAAGATGAGCATACATCCAAATGAGTATATGCACAATTTCATAATATGAGCCAGTTTTTTGTAATGGTGCACCCCAACACACACACACACACACGAGTTCTGAGTGATTTTTCAAGACAATAGGAACGCTGTAGCAGCCCACAATTCTTTTTGCTAAAAGGGTCTGTCTTATTAAGCATTTGGCTCTGTGTATTTTGCAGAACACTTGTGATAGGGTTGTTTTTGTTTTCGTCAGTCTCAAAACATCTGTAGGCCGCTGCATCTTCCCATTAGAGTGACTGGTAAAACGTTTTTACTTAGTGTATACTGCACCTCTCAGTAAAACAGAACAACCCTGAACAAGGTTGAGTTACTTTAATCGTAGTAGCTCACGGGTTGGGGAAGTGATTGAACAACCTTGTTTCATCCAGAGTAGTTGGATCTTTTTCTCATTGGTTTGTTAGCGTTCCCTTTTTTTCTTTTTTTTTTTTTTAACTCTTGGCCTTATAATTTACTCAATTTTGACACCCAGTAAATAAGAATTTAGTAACTTTAAATGTGGTTCAGGTCAAACTATTTGCTGTGAGTTAGGGCGTGTTTAAAACATACCCAAATTTTTAAGTTTGAAGTTTTAATTTTTAAGATACCCATATCTGGGAAGTCAGTTTGTCTTTGGGGGGTGTATTTTTATGCATGTTTCAGAGAGATTTTTATCAGCCAGCAAAATTGTCCTCTGTGGTTTGCTACTTGCACAAAAAGATCTGTTATTCATTAAATTGCTTTAAAAGGAATTCGTGAGAGTGGTAATCAAATTTCTAGAGGTTTTTTTTTTTTCTTTAGTTAAAAATATGAAGATTAAGGGGAAACTGAAGACAAGTCTTTGGAAAAGTTACATTCCTCAACTTTATTTTTAAAAGTAGCTGATGGTCCAAGTAAAAGAATGTCATTTTCAGTCTTTTACTCATTGTTCATCTGACAGGGGTCTTACTTTGGGAGATACTTGGCTGATGTTAAAGTTCATTTTTTGTCCAGCTGCTTGTGCTAAAATTGTTATTTCTCAAGTATCTTTTGTTTTTGCTTTTTAATGAGTAATTGTTACTGGGGGGAATAAGTGTGGTGTATCTTGTGAGATCCTAAGAACATCCTTTGTTAATACTGCTGCTCTGGGTAAGAGAAACATACTGCTGGGAATGTAGATGACTTCCCACTACAATTGAGTCTAATACTCTGGAATGTTTTTCGTTTGGGTGTTGGCAACTCCTAAATTTAATCTTCCTTAAAAACAAACAACCCAGGGTACTATTTTTTGTGTCTGTGGAATTTGAACCTTCTTTATTGAATAGGGAATTTAGGGCTGCTTTCTTTTTGTGGTAACTGTGGCTCTATCTGTTTTATGCTGTAGGACCCAACACAACATGGTAATGTTTTAGCACAGTATGTTAATTGGCAGGCATACTTCTTGAGTGCCTTCTCTCTATCTTTTCAGTGTCTTTAAAAAACAAATTAAGGTATTTTAATAGCAGAAAAATCTATGACACAAAACTTAAAAGGTGAACCATTTTTATATTTTCAGGTTGTTGCTTTTTTAGAACTGAAAGCCATTCATTTCTCTTAGTTTCAACATTGAGAATGCCTGTTGAGTTTTTTGTGTAATACCACTTAGCACTCTTGCTTTAAAAAGTCATGTAATAGTTTATAAAATTTTCAGGTATGGTAATACTATAAAAGCAGAAAATCATCAATCTGTCAATGTTCAAAAGTAGACTTGTATTATATATAGTGTTGAGTAAGACTTATTTTCAGACAGGTTTCCCAACCAAGTTTAATTAGTAGATTAGAATGTAACTTGTATACAAAGAACCTACTTTAAAACACTGGTTGATAAAACATTAAGTTCCTTCAAGAAATATTTATTAAATGTTAGTGTGACATATTCATTGTGACTTTCATTAACCATTTTACTAATTACAGAGTATTATAAATTTTCTTGAATGTATCTGACAGCAGGTAAAGACACCAAAAGCAACTAGAAGATAGTTGTAGTAATTAAGGAAGCAGGTCAACACTGGAAGTGGTGGGTGGGGGTGGGATTACTGTGTCATGATGCCTGTAGTAAAAAGTGCAGATATACAGATGCTTATTAATGAGACAAACTGTTCTCATTTACTGAGAAAACTTTTTCAAAGCTCTTGTCTAATTTTTGGCTTTGTTTTGGATAATAGTCCACAGTGGATAATTTGGAAGTATGTACTTCCTGCCAGTAATTTCTGTATACATTTATTAGTCAGTTGTTCATTACATGTCTGTTCAAGGCACTATCATAAGAAGTGTATAGAAAATAAGAATAAAGAAATGTATATTCTCAGTGAGCTAGACAAATCTAGAAAGAAGGATAAGGCATAATCACATGAAAAAAACTTGAAGTAATGTTATAACAGTTTAAAGGCTATCTTAATGCAGCATGTAACTATTTATTAGAAATAGTGTGTCTTTAAAGGGAAGAGATAATTGGGTTGAGAGAAGTTACTGACGGTGAGGAGCTTGAGCTGAGACTTAATATTTCTATACCTACACATTTATACATACATTCACATGTACCTGTATACAAACTTGTCTGTTTACTGTGGTAGCACATTAATATCATGTGAGGATCTTAAAATGTTCCCTCATTCTGGTTACTTGCATTCTTCCTCCTGACCCCATTGTAATTTATTGGGTCTGGGATGAATCCCAGGCATTAATATTTTGATAAGCTTCCCATGTGCTTGTAATGTCGGTCAGGGTTAAGAACTATTGTGCTGCAGTCTGGGGTACAGAAATTAATAGACACAAGCCTTGCCCACAAGAGGCTATCAGATAATACAGGGAACTGTGGTCAGAACACTGTTAAGTCCAGCCAATTTCCTGAGCTGGGTACCTAACTCAAGAGGAGGAGGGTAGCTGAGGAAGGCTTCCTAGACAGTTATACCCTCATTTTCAGAGTGCTTGTGAAGTTACTGCCATTGAATAGGTTTGCATGAATGGGTTAATAGAGATGGTTACCATAGAAAATATAATCTTTCAATAGGTAGAGGTCAAATGAAACTGAAGTTTTGATTTAAATATTAAAGTTAACATATATTGAAACTTACTGTTTTTACAGTGTTTGGCCATAGTTTGTGTTGTCTTAATGAGTGCTTAGAGCAATCTTATGTTTTTTTTTTTTTTGTAGTAATATGTGCATCTAGGGGAAAGGGAGTTCTTAAGAATTAACCTGTGTTATTTGCATTATTTGGTTTATTTCTCTGGATTTTTTCTGTAATTATTAGAGGTTATCTTAAACATCTGAATGGGGAAAACGGTGAAAGTGTGGAACTGAATAGATGTTAAGGTGAAATTTGTAGAGTCAGCAATTGTTCTGACTCACTAACCTGTGGGTTTGCTTGGCAAAATTTTGAACAGAGTATCATCAAAATACAAATCTGTTTTTGGCTAGCAGTTTGAAAATGTGCATCTTTGATTTTAAGTGGTACGTTGTTTTTCTGTCAAGATTGTGTTATAACACCTACTCCATGGTTTGAAGAGCATTTGATATATAGAAAGCATTTGTAAGAGAAAACAATTTAAGTCATAATTATTCAGCATATTTATTGAACATTATATAGGGCAAGTCCCACTTAGTAAACCTTATAAATCCAGGTAGATTAAGAAATGCCTTTCTGTATGCCCATTATATTCCAGACTGTCTACCTTTCTATGTGATGAGTCAGGAGAGGAACTAATAGTGACTCAGAGATGGAGAAAATTGGACTTGTGAATAGAGTAGATAAAGCATAACACTCAGGCTTGTTAATACATTAAACCCAACTTTTCTAGATGTTTGTGCTCACTGATAGTAAACTGAAAATTTACTATTACCAAGATTTGTAATGAGTTGTCTAAGT